TCTTCTACTCGTGTCACATTAACAACTCTTAATTTCTTTTTCTTCCAGGCTACATATGACATGCATGCTCTCAAAGATTTTTATTATACCTATATGTTAAAATTACAGGAAATGACACAACGTAATAAATAATACATCTTTGTTAAGTACTTACAATTGATCTGATATTGTTCTCTTTTGCCAGTTTCAGGGATGATTTATAGCAACTTGCCAGGTCTTCTTTATGAGTATCACTGATATGACCTCTTGCTATTGGTCCCACAGTATGAATGACATCTGAAAAAAATTTAAACAAATATTCACTTTACTCCTTAAGTGGGTAATGACTGGGAAAGAGGCTAATTTCACGAGAAGGGTCTTTTTTTCAGTTATGATTTCTAGAGACCAAAAAATAACAACAGAAAGCAACAGAGCAGTCTGCAACATATCTTCAATGCCTGTGTACAAATGCAAGGAGTATGGGGCAACAAGCAGGATGAACTAAAAGTCATGGTATGGGAAGAAAATTATGAATCATCACAGAGGCTTACTGGGACAACTGCCATGACTGGGGTACCAGCATTGAGGGGTAAAGCATGTCCCAAAAGGACAGGTCTGGGGGGAAAAGAAGGAGGTGTTGTGCTATACATAAAGAACATATACACTTGCTTCAAGGTCCTTGAGGAAGTGAGCAATAGACCTGCTAAGAATCTGGGGGTGACGATAAGAAGGGAAAAGAATAGTAGCAATGTTACTTGGAAGGTAATTGTAGACCAGCAGATCAAGAAGAGGAAGTGAGGAAGTCTTTCTGCAAACTGGTAAGAAGATTAGTTAACACACCTGAGCTAGTACTAACTCCCCTGATATCAATTAGAAGGCTACTGCAGCAAAAAGAGTATGACCTGCAAATTCTTAGTATGTGTAGGAGAGAGGTTTCTGATTCAGAAAGCTGAGGACACAATGGGGGAGGGAGGGAGTGTCATCCATTTTGGATCTGGTTTTGACCCACGGGGATGATTAAGTTGTGAATGTGAAGGTGGTCAGGAACTTGGGAGGAAGTGATCATGATTTGACAATTCAAAATTCTATGGAAAGGAGGGCACGAGAATAGCAAAACAAGGACACGGGCTTCACAAAGGTGGATTTCAACTGATGCAGACAAATAGTAGGCAAGGTCCCATGGAAAGACCAATTAGGAAGAAAAGGAATTGAAGGAGGCTGGCAGTTGTTATAAGATGTAAGACAGGCTCCACATCAAGCTATTCTGACAAAGAAGAAAGAAAAGAAGAGCCACTGGAGGCCAAAGTGGCTATACAAGGAGCTTTTTAGCTATCTAAAACCCCAAAAGGATATATACAGGAAATCAGAGCCAGTCTTAGGGGCAGGCGAGCCAGGCGGTTGCCTGGGGCCACCATTTTCAAGGGGCCGCCGACAGAGCCAGTCTCGGGGGTGGGCCATGACCGCATTTCAGCCCGACCTCCCTCCTCCCAGGTTTCCCTGGTTACCTCCCATCCCCTCGGTTTTTTTTGCTTGACAAATTTTTGTCCGGTATTTTTTTTTCCCATCCCCTCTGTTTTTTTTTTGCTTGACAAATTTTTGTCCGGTATTTTTTTTTTAAATCATCTGGCAACTCCACGGGCGAACTGGGTAGTCGATCAGGGCTGCCAATTGGTTAGGACCAGCTGTGCAGGAAAGGGAAGGAAAGGCAAACCAGCACATGTGGTCATACCACAAACATGTAGGGACAAACTCAAGGAAGCCAAGGCAGAGGATGAGTTACAGCTGGCAAGAAAGGATAGCGACAATAAAAAGGGGTTCTTCACATGTGGCAGACAAAAAAAAAAAAGTTCAAGGATGGTGTGGGTCTGCTGCTCAATGGAGATGGTGAGCTGGTAACGGAAGATGATAGGAAGGCAGAGCTGCTCAGTCTCTACTTCGCTTCAGTCATCTCACAAAAAAACCATACGACTGGACTAGTAGGAAAGTTACCACCACAGACAATAAAGGGAAAGGGATGCAGATCAGGATAAGTAAAGACTACATCAGAAATCTTCCAATCAATTTGAATGAATTCAGATCAGCAGAGCAGATGCTATTCATTTGAGGGTACTGAAGGAATTAGGTGAAGAAAACTCAGCGCCACTAGCAATAATATTTATAAACCTCTGGGGGTATGTCTACACTGCATGGCTATTTGGGGATACCAGAGGTATCCCCAAATAGCTACCCCATGTCAACACAAGCTGCCTGTTATTTTGAAATATTTTTTGGAATAATGAGTGTGCTATTTCACCATCCTGGTAAACCTTGTTGCACAAGGGATAAGGGATGGCTCAAAATAGCACATTATTTTGCAATTTGGCCCTTTGTAGACATGCCAAAATTCAAAATAAGCGATTTTAAAAATAGATTCAAAATAAGATACACAGTTTGCATAGCACAAATTGCGTATCTTATTTCAAGTTTAGGGTGCTGTGTAGATGCATCCAGGATGACAGTTGAGATCCTGGAAGACTGCAGAAGGAGTAATATAGTGTCCATCTTCAAAAAAGGAGAAAAAATGGGGAGTTGGGAAACTCTAGACTAGTCAGCCTGAGTTTGATATCAGAGAAACTACTAGTGTAAAATATAAAATATTCAATTTCAAGCACCTGGATGAAGAAGGGGTAATCACTATCAATCAGCATAGATTGCCCAAAACCAGCCATGCCAAACCAATTTGGTTTCCTGTTTTTGACATGGTAGCACATTTGGTGGATAGGGGGAATGCAGTGGACATAATATACCTGAACTTCAGCAAGGCTTTTGACATAGTCCCAGATAATAGGTATCCCGGAAAAAACTCTGCCACGTCCAAGGAACGCATTTGTTCTTCCACTTTTTTTTGTGGAAGAGCAAACATGCTCTTTCGGGGAGCCCTGTATAACTCATTCCGTGAGGAATAAGGGGTCCACTGAAAAAGGAGGCTTCCCCACCATTTGGCCCCGTCTAGACTGGGCCAAACGGTGAAAAAACCTCTTCTGGAAAAGCGATCAGAAAAAGGACTGTAGTGTAGACTTAGTCTGAGTTGCAGAAATGTGGGATCAATGCAATTGACATTAAGTGGATACCTATCTAATTAAACAAGCACAAAGAGTAACTATTAATGTAATGTCATCTGATTGGAAAGAGGTCTCAAATGGGGTTCCATAGGGATCTGTTCTGGGTCTGGCATTGTTTAACATCTTTATCAATGAGCTGGATGTAGGTATAGCAAGCATACTGATCAAGTCTGCAGATGATACAAAGCTGGGCAGAGGATAGAGCTAAAATTCAGTGGGCTCATGAAAGACTGGCACACATGGCAATAGATAAAATGAAATTCAGTGAAGACAAATGTAAATGCTAGACTAGGGGGAAAATGTACAAATATAAAATAGGGGGGGAATGACTTGGCACTGCTGAGAAGGATCTGGGAATTGTGGTGAATCACATCCTCAACATGCGTCAGCAATGAGACGTTGTTGCAAAAAAAGCAAACAATTTTAGGTTGCATTAACAGACACATGTAAGTGACATGTGCTTGTTAGGCGTCAGCTTGAGCGCTGTCTCCAATTTTGCTCACCAGTGTATAGAAAGGATGCAGAGAACCTGGGAAAGATCTAGAGGTGAGTGAAGAAGATGTTGAAAAGGATGGAAAGCAAGCCATGTGAGGAACAGGGTATGATGAGTTTCAAAAAGATAAAGGGGGGGCATGGTAGCAGTCTACAGATACTTGAAAGGCTGTCATAAAAAAAAGATGGAGAAACGTTGTTCTCACTTTTCAGAGAGGGGAAGGGTTCAAGGCATACTACAACACAGCAGATTTAGATTAAATCCCAATACAAAACTTCCTAACTGAAAGACCAGTAGAACAGTACAAAAGATTGCCTCATTCTTTTTCAGCATACATCTGGGATCTTTTCTTATTGAAAAAAAATAAGCACATTCCTCTATACATTGTTGACCTCTGAAAGGGTTAATTACTAAGAGACTAGCAGCCATTTCACATAAGGAAAGATACACTCAAAGCACTAGCCATTTAAAAAAGCAACTACAGGTTGGACCTCCCTGGTCCGGCACCCTTGGGACCTGACCAGTCCTGGACAAAGGAGTTTTCAGGACCATGGGAGGTTTAGGAGGAGGGGCACCAGCCTCCCCACTGGGCTCCCCTTCTCAGCCTCCCAGTCCCGCAAGCTACAGCAGCCCCACCAGAGCTCCCGGCAGCCCCACCACCCCACAAGAGCTCCCAGCAACCTCACTGGCTTTGCGACAGCTCTGCCACCCCACCAGAGCTCCTGGCAGTCCTGCTGACTGTGGGCTCCGCTGCCCCATGAGTTCCTGTCCCACCGCCAGCTTCCCAGCCCCACTAGCTGAGAGCTCTGGTGCCCCATGGGCACTGCTGCACCGCTGGCCCCACCAGCTGTCTCCACTCTGAGCCACCAGCAATCTCTGCTTCTGGGGCTCTCTAGTGCCGCAATGTCCATGATTCTCCTGGACCACGGATGTTGCTGGACCAGAGAATCAAGGACCACAGTGATTTAACCTGTTAGTCTGTCTAAAAAAAAATCATACATAGAAAGACAGAGTAGAGGCAGGATCTATAGGAGATAAGATGCTTCTGAATTCATTGACATAGAAGCCAGGTTTTACAATATTAGTTATAAGTTCTTAAACCAGGGGACAAGCTGAAAAATGAAGTAAAATTACTTTAAAATCCTTCCACTAAAATGGGTCAGTAAAATATTTTTAAAAATTTTGTTTTAAAGTTACATATAGTCTGCACTTTCACTCTTCAGATCCCATTTCTACAGGCATGTAATGTCATCTGATTGGAAAGAGGTCTCAAATGGGGTTCCATAGGGATCTGTTCTGGGTCTGGCATTGTTTAACATCTTTATCAATGAGCTGGATGTAGGTATAGCAAGCATACTGATCAAGTCTGCAGATGATACAAAGCTGGGCAGAGGATAGAGCTAAAATTCAGTGGGCTCATGAAAGACTGGCACACATGGCAATAGATAAAATGAAATTCAGTGAAGACAAATGTAAATGCTAGACTAGGGGGAAAATGTACAAATATAAAATAGGGGGGGAATGACTTGGCACTGCTGAGAAGGATCTGGGAATTGTGGTGAATCACATCCTCAACATGCGTCAGCAATGAGACGTTGTTGCAAAAAAAGCAAACAATTTTAGGTTGCATTAACAGACACATGTAAGTGACATGTGCTTGTTAGGCGTCAGCTTGAGCGCTGTCTCCAATTTTGCTCACCAGT